GAAGCACAGAGTATTTCCATTATTTCCCTTCTCCTGGATCATCCTGGTGGGCTCTGTTTGTTGGGGTTCTGAGAAGAACACCTCGGAATCCACTAAAAACTTCATAGGTCCCTTAGACCACATCCTTATCCTCTTGGGAAACAAGAAACTTGATTTTGATTTATATTTTGTTGCTCTGAAAAAATTATGGTCATGTCACTCATGTCATCTGTCCCTTTCTACCACCCCAATCCCAACACCATGATTTTATTATCTCTTCGCCTTGACAGTCTAATAGATGATTTTAATTTCATAGAAGCCTTCAGTATGGAGGGATGACAAGGAAAATATGGGCTGTGCAGAGATCATTTTTAAAACTCAGGTTATGAAGATTCAATAGGAAAGTGGTGACATTTCTAAGTACCTAGCTTATGGTCTTTCTTCCCACCTTACCAACCTTCCATGAATTTGTTCAGGAAGAAAACGGCAAGGCTTCCTAGTGCCACTTTGAGCAGAGCGCTCTCCAAACCTCCAATGTTGATCCAGAATAAAATGCCCTTTGATTTAAATAGGCCAGAAATGTACATATTTTATTCAAACTCAGTTTCAGCAAGCAGGTTACTATGAGACCCTGGGTTTGAAAGCACCATTAACTATGGTCACAGGTCTTTCCCAAACTTACCAGATTTGGACCTTAATCATGATTTTAAAAAATCCATTCTGGGGACCTGACATGATGGCTCAAGTCTGGAACTAGAGGCAGAAATAGGAGGATGGCATTCAAGGCCAGTCTAGGCAAAAAGTTAATGAGACCCCCCCCATCTCAAAAAAAACAAGCCAGGAGTGGTGGTGCATGTCTGAAATCCCAGCTACTCTGGAAATGGAAATAGGAGTATTGGACCCTATCTGAAAAGCAAACTAAGGCAAAAGGGCTGGGAGCTTGGCTCAATAGATAGAGCATTTACCTAGCAAGTGAAGGTTCTGAGCTCAGTCCTTCCTTAGTTATGCCAAAAAAAAAACCCATCTTGAAATAAATTAACATAAGCAAATAATGCAAAGCATACTCAAATACACAACAATATTGGCTTTAAAAATGAAACCCTATTCATGCAGAGAACAAGAACCACCCTACCAATCACCTACATACCAATTAATCCACACATTGACTGCTGGTAATTATCTAATTGCTTGTCTGCAGAACATCATTTAATTGTAGTACATTTCATCTACTGTCCTAATGATTGTCAGGAGGAGTCAATCCCCTACACCTGGGAAGGGAAATGTCTACTTTCCAGAGTGGCTGGGCCCTCCTTTGCTACAAGAGGTACAGAGAACTATGGGATAGCACCTACTCCAGAGAGCACAGCAGGAGCTTTGTGACCAAAGGCAGAGGAATGACCCTCTTTTCATTTTCCAAAAGGAATGTGATGATTATCAGTAGGGTAATACTCAAATGGACAAACAAGATAAAATCACACAACTTAATTGAGCACTTGCTATGTCCTAGGTCCTGTAGGTAAGAGCTTTGCAATTATTATCTTGTTTAATCCTCTCAAACATCCTACAAGGCAGGACTACTTATCATTCCCATTTTAAAGATGGGATGCTTTCTTAACTTGTCCAGAATTGCATAAGCATTAAGCAGCAGAGTCAGAACCCAAATCAAATGCTCATTTGGCTGAGAACTCACAAGAAAGAAAAACTAAAGCTCAAAATGCTGAATTAACCTCCAGGTTTTTCTTCCTAATCACTGCCCATGACCTCATATGGTTTTGGGGAAAATGGAAGAGGTGACAGGTCCCTACCTTGGTTAGATTTCAAAAGCAGTGCTGAGAATTGGTGATGCTCACACACCTGGATTCAGGGATAATGGGCTGAGACTCAGAAATCAGAGGCCAGGAGGCTGTGAGAAGCAACAAATTCCCAGACCAGGATTGATTGCTGGCTCCAATTCTTTAATTATCAGTCCAGCTCTGTGTCTTTCTATAAAATGTCATATTTGTGACATGAAGATAATGGGGACATGAAGAGATATTGGTGGCATGTTCCAGCTCAGAGTTTTTGCTGTATACTGGAGGAGGTTTACAAGGTCAAACAACTCCCCCAACAGATGTGGAAGGCACTGTGTTCTCAGAAGTCTTAGCAACTAACTCACTTTATTTGCCAAGATCAAAACAGCCACAAAAATACATTTCACTTTGCCAGAAAAAAAATAGCTACGAGAATAATTCATGCATGTAAAGTTCTCATTGCCTGTGCCCTATGTAACTATGAATTAATTCTCAGAAGGACACAATGGGAGACAAGAATGTAATACCAAATTGACAAGTCTCTTTTTTTTTTTTCCAAGAAAAGAATGGCTACGCCTTCACATAAAGGCTCTCATTAAAATTCTTTTGGATCCATACCAGGCTCAGGGGCACTTGGGATGGGAAAGACATTTGAAGGTCATCTAGTTTGACTCTTCATCAGATGCCCAAGTTCCTTTCACAATATTCCTGAGCATGGGTGCCAAGGGGATGCCTAAACACTCTCAGATCAACAAACCCAAGACCTCTCAAAGCAGCGTGTTTCATTTTTTGGGGAGCTCTGCTCTTTTATAAAGGACTTTCTTAATACTCTCTCAAAAACTGTCTGTTCACAGTTTGGTTCTCCCTCTTCTCCAGAAGTGTCAATCATTCCATACATAGAAAAACAATCTGACAGTGAAGTATCATTGTTTTGTGGTCATACTTGGGGATTTTTTTTAAAGACAGATTTACTTGATCCATAATTATTCCAAGATGATTACTCCTCCAAATAACCCAAAGTGCATATTTTTCAACTTATATTATCAGCTACACTGAAACTGATTATAATCAACTTGCTTTCATAGAAAGAAGGAATAAATCAAAATATAGACTTTAAGAGAATCCGCTTTGGTTAAAAGCATCACCAGCAAGCATTCCATGTCCCAATCAAACCAGACAGAACTCTGTGTATTTCCCCACCACTGCCCAACCCCCACTGGAATTCAACCGGGCAGTTTTTAATCCACAGAATCATGAAAATCATCTAGCCATAACCTCGCATTTTTTGATGTAGAAACTGAGGCTCAGAGATTTCTAGCTCTTTCCCCTTGTCATCCCCAAATATTTATTCATTCTAGGTCGTCTGCACCTGGTTGTGCACTCAGGCATTCTCAGGTCTCTCAGCAGGGAGTCACAAGACAATACAATTCAAAGAATTGAAAACTGGTAGACGAATATTGTTCATTAAGCCACTGACAGGCATTTCAAACCTCATACAAAGGACTGAGAGGGCAAAGGCTTGTTTCCTCTCTCTGATCTTTGCTCAAACTGTCCCTCCAAATGGAACACTTACTCCCTTCTATTTGGCAAAATATCTTTTAAACTCAGCTCATCCCTTGGACATTTCCTCTTGACCCCTCCCCCTCTTTAGCTGCTCCCTTCCTTTCTTCTCCCACAATACTTCGGGTGAGTCACAATCATTGTATTGGCATCATGAATTCCAATTACCCTTCCTAGGCAGATCTCCTGTATTAGGCTTGGGGTCTCTGGAGACAGGAAACTGAGAGTCCTTTAGTTTTATTTATCTACTCTACTTCAGCTGGCACAGGAAGAGTTTTGATGAATGAACAGTATTGTTTCGGCAGACTCATAAGGGTTTTACAGAGGGGAAAGAAAGAATTCCAGACTGAGGAAGAAGCATTCAGACACTGCAGTGTGAAAAGGTATTGTGTGCTTGAAGAACGATGTGGAATTCTTATGATTCAGGTGACAGTCCAGGTGGCAGGGGTGGGCATGAGGAGGAGTGGGTGAGGTCCATTTGAGCTACATGTGGACAATCACATAAGACTTGCTGAAGTGAACAGACATGATCCTAAATAGGATCAGATTAATTTTTAAGGAGGTTGTTTGAGTGGCCAAAAAATGAAGCATGGTACTGGGGGCAGACATGAGGCAGGAATGCAAGTCTGAAGCCCACTGTATGATCCTTCTAAGGTATGAGAAGGACCCTTGTTGAGGGGTTTATACCTTGAGAATTCTGTGAGAGCCCTGAGGAAGGAAGCCAAGTATGAATTCAAACTTGAGAGCTTAAAGTGGGGCCAGCAGGATCTGGAGAGAGAAAAGAACAGTTGAGAGGGAAAAGAACACGTGAGAGAGGGAAAAGAACAGTTGGCATTGATTCCAGGGTTCCCAACCTAGAACCCCAGAGAGAGACAGACAATGTAAATCAAAGCAGGAACCAGAAAACCAGGAAAAGTTTAGGGGAATGGCAATGAGGTTATCTGAGAGAAGAGTCTTATGACAATCTTTACAGATGATTCTTCTAGATCCAGAGACACCATATTACTGTTTTACCCAAAGAGATAGAGGAAATATAAGCAAATCAATCATGAAAACATAAAGACAAATATTTTAATCATCAAAGAAATGAATGAATGGAGAAATCCTGATGATTCGAGGGTAAAAGAAACAACTTCAAGAAATATTTCTTTTGCTTCTCAAACTATTGATCATTTCTCAATGTGTTGGCAAATATACAACATAGTCTCCAGATAATCAAATTCCATGCCTTTTAAATTTTTTGAAAAGTATTTTCAAATCTTTTAAGAAACTGTCATTACTAGCTGACTGGCTGATGACCTCAGACCAATTAGTGGGTCCCAGTCACCAGGGAGAGTTCAGTTTATGCTAATTAAGTGGCCACATACAGCAACCTTGTGTTTTACTTATCTTTTCAAAATTAAAGAAGGTCTACACAGTACTGGGAACAAAAGCCCACAGACACACACATGAACAAATGCCTTTTGCACTAAACTCTACCCATCTGCTAATCCAGGAACATCCTCTCTCTTCTCCATCAAAGCAAAAGCTCACCAGAGCCAGCATCAACAGAACCTTCTCAGGTCAACTGCTCCATAAATAAGTGGTGAAGGAACTTTCCTGAACCTAGGAATTGTCAAAAGTGCACAAGGAAAAGAAGAGTGTGAAAAAGAACTGAAACTGCCAGCTCACCCTCTTCCTCAGGTTGTAGGTGAGAATCAGGTTCCGGGAGAAGGAGTGGGAGAAGGCCGTGTAGAATTCCAGCACTTTCTGCAGGGCGTCCCTCTTGATCACATGCAGGTCACAGTAGGTCAGGGCCCTAACATTAGCACAGGACTGGGCAAGGGTGGCTTCCTTCCAGAATACATCTCCAAACACGTCTCCTTTCCCTAAGGAAAGAAAGTTGTCATTGAGGAAAGTGTCAGCCAGGAGGGGTCTGCTTGCCTTGCCTTCCCAGAACTGCTATCCATTTGACATTCTCCAGCTTGGGCTCAGAAAGGGCAAAAAGCATTTTCATTTGAACCTTAATAATATGCAATTTAAGGGATTTTAAAATGTCACACAATACATATGTGATATTTAACTGTTGGATTTGGAATCAGGAATTGGAATCCAAGGGTTATTCTGATTCTCCTTATCAACAGGGATTCCCCTCCCCCAATTATTCTTTATCATACTTCCTTTTTTCCCATGGCACTAATAATAGCCTATAATTATATTATTTGTTTCTTTACTGGTTTGTTATATGACTTCTAATACTGGAGCCCATATGTCTTATTCCTCCACCAGCACAGTACCCATCACATAGTAAGAGCTCAATCAATACTTGCAAAAAGAAGTAAAGGAAGTGGATGGGAGTCTACATTAAAGTGCCTAACTGAAAGGTAAATGGTTAGGCTGCTAGTAGGGAAGATGTGGACTCTTCATCCAGGAACTGAAGAACAGGACAGGTCTTCTCTAGCTGGGACAATCTACATAGAAGTAGTCAGGCAAATGTAGGTTCAGCGCCTCCCATACTTGTCCACTGCCCTAAGGTTTATATTTGAATCATGTGTCCTTCCTCTTTCTTGTACTTTCTTCCAAATTATGCTCCTTTCTCTTTCCAAGTGCTCTCCTAGTAGCATAAGAAGTATGGCACCTAAAGGATCTTCTATACCTAGCATTCCACATGTATATTCAGTAAGTCTAGACAACAGTGCTATGGGCTACATGTTTATGTCCCCAAAAATCATGTTGAAGTTCTAGCCCCCAACAAAATAGTATCAGGAGGTAGGACTTTGGGAGGTAATTAAGTCATAGGGTGGAGTTGTGATGAATGGGATTAGTGCACTTATAAAAGGAACTCCAAAGAGTTCATCTCTTGTGCTCTGTCATGTAAAGATGCACTAAAAAGTAGGCCATGTGTAGCCTAGAGAGTGTCCTTATCAGAACCTGATCATGAAAGCACTCTGATCGTGAACTTCTAGCCTTCAGAACTTGAGAAATTTCTATTGTGTGTATACGAACCCAGTCTATAGCAGTTTGTTACAGCAGCCCAAAATAAGATTGGAACCATACAGTCATATTCTGGGCCAAACTTCTACCAATCTCCTTTTAACATCTGCTTTTCACACCTAGAGATATTCTTCCTACTTTTCCCAGAGACACATATTTCAATGCAAAGCCTATTTATTCTTGGTTAAAATGTTTATCTTGCTTCCAAAAGTTCTGCACAGATAAACACAAATTTCAATCTCTAGGAATCCAGAGAGGAATATAGAGGGGGACAAAAATAAACACTATAAAAGGTAAAAGTAATGCATTTTAGGGAATTGTCAGCCTACTGCATCCAGATCAGCCAAGTTCCACAGCTGGAATCCAGGTACCTGTGGCTCATGATGATTAAGAGGACAGCTGTTTTCCTGATTAAAGCTGAGGAGGCAATTATACTTTCAAGTACATGGACGGACTTGACTTTTTCTCAAATACAAAAACGTATCCACTCTAAGTATATAAGATACTTCATAGACACAGTGTTTTCTAAGTACCTCCAAAATGCGAGCAAAAAAAACCAACCAAATATACTGAACACATGACTTCCTAGTTGTCTATTTAACTGTGGTTCTAATATGAAGGTGGTTGTACTGACTCACTGTGAGTAAAAACTTGGTAGAGGCAGCTTCTAGGTAAACATGTCTTTGAAACTGCTATTTAGATTACCTTATCAAGTCCTTTTTTCAACCATCTGTAATATAGGTGTAATATAGGTCCTAAGTTAGGACTAAGGTCAGTGAGGAGAATTACTCTCCATGGGCTACTAACTGGTTGCCATGGAAACAGACTCAGTGGTTACTTCCCGGCTCTGAGTTCTAGCCGACTCACTTGTACACATGAAGCATTCTCAGCCTTCCTATACAGCTCACAATGGCCATGTGCCCTTCATAGTTATGTAATCTTACTCTTCTGGACCATGCCCTTTCGTTGGAACAGTATGGTAATCAGTTTTAAAATGGATGCCAACCATTCCTTTCCCCACTGTTGTTCCTTCACAACAAGAGGTGAAGCTGAATTCCCTTCCTTTGAATCAGGGCTGGCTTTAATCACTTGATCAACAGAATCTGTTAGAAATGATGTTCTGGGATTTTTGAGGCAAGGTTAATAAAAAGCCTGTGACTCCTGCTTGAGTCTCTTGGAACACTCACTCTTGGGACTCTCCCTCTTAGAGTCCAATCAATATATGAAAAGTACAAGTCATACAAGCGATCACATGGAAGTTCTCTTGCCCAGGGTTCAGTTGAGTTCTCGGTCAACAGTCAGCTTCAACTACCAGTTGTGTCAATCTGCTATTTTACTGATCTAGTTCAGCCGAACCTTCTGATAACTGCAGCTCTAGCAGCTACGTTATTAGGTTGAAATGTGGTATAATTAAGCCAGAACACTGAGCATACAGGCTTATGGATAATTTGCCCGATTCTAATTAAGATTACCTCTTTTAAACAAAACCAACATATAAGCACTATACTTCTTAAATGAAATGGGGTGTCATTTTTCTAATCATAGAAGAACCCATAAAGTAAAACAATAGTTTCCCATGTGCATTTAACATATGAGTTTAACTGTAAAAATTCAATTTATAAACACCTCTTCACAGGCATATCTGTTTGTACAAAACAAAGGGCACAGTTGGAACACACCATGAAATAAATAAGTGTTTTGAAATGACAACATTTTCATGGTAAAAAAGTTTTCTAATCAAAGATTTTTGACAGAAACAATAAGTGGAGGGCAGCTCCTGCTACAAAAAGTATTTCACAGTAAGATAATCACAATTAATCTGTAGAGTTGAGGAGTCTCAGGGTTGTCATAACTTGGATTTGATTTTTGACCCAAGTTGAAAATCAAACAATCTTACTTCCTGTCAAGGCAGAATCTTTGGTGTGAATTATTTGTGACTGAGACTTAAGAATGTGATGTCAGAGGACCTGTCAGGTTCAAAATGAACCCAAGACTATTGTGGCAAACGAGAAACGTTTTTAATGACACATATAACTGGGGGAAACTGTCAAAAAGGAAGCAAAGCATTTGGCAGCCTGCTTCCAAGTTACACACATTGCCAGGAATAATGACTTCCCTGGTCAGACTGTGAGTCAGAGGCCAGAACAAATCCTACATCCCTATCCCTCTCTTGCTTGCTGGTGTGAAGTGATCACTTCCCAAGAACAAAAGGTACCCTGTGCACTTGGTAATCAAACTCCTCAGAGCAATCAGTCTATTTATTTATTTATTACACTGAGTGCTCGGTGCAGAATGTTAAAACCTAACTTTCCAAGCCTCTAAAATACTAACATTCTTCATGGATGTTCTGAGCTGAGGGGATGTAGGAGTATGTGTGGGTTGGGAGTAAGGAAAGACAGTATAATTAAAACTTTAGGTGAACATCCCTGTAATAATCAACCATTCTTCCCTTCCTGCCCTGATTACACACAGTTGTCCTTACTGAGCCTTTGCTTCTGCAGTGCACATAAAGAGCCCTGGGGTGGGACCAAACACCACTCATAAAGCATAGGTGAGAGGCAGGATAAGGGCTGAGGTGCACAAAGACAGGGATGGGCCATGCCTGAAAGGGGCACAGCACAGATGTCCACCCAATCCCTGCAGGCAGTTTAGTTTAGCAAAGAGCAGAGGCTGGGGACAGCCAGTTGCAGAGGCTGAATAGGGCCTATGGGAGGGGGGTAGAGAGAGTTACTGTGGTGAATTTGAGCGGTGTTGGAATAGGGACCCAGAAGCATCAAACAGTCTTCCTGAATGCTAACAAATGTCAGGGGTTTCTGATCTGAACTCTACAACTGGGTTTGGAACTCTGCGGAGAAAGCCCTGTCCATTCAAAAATGGGCTCCATGTGAACTTGTCAGGTCAGGGGATCACAGTACAAGTGAGTTTTCTGACCACTTCTCCTCACTAATTCCCTCAATGTGCCACTGCTCACAGTGGTATCCTGGACTAAGCAAAACAATTCTGAAGTGAAAATCACCATCTGCTAAAATCACTAACCAGTTCTAGACTCAAAGCAGTTAGAAGGAACTCAGCCCATCATTCATGCATTGTGTGTAGGCACTGTGGCTGAGGTACCACAGTGGGTCAGCAGATACTGTGAGGGACGGAGACACAGGTAACAACACAGTACATTAGAGTCTATAACAAGGGAAAGTAGAGGAGGGGTATCCAACTCAAGTTCAAGGGCAAAGGGAAATCTTCAAAGACATGGTATCTGAGCTGAGACCTGAAAGATGAGAAGTTAACCAGAACTTTGCCACATGGAGATGGTTATAGTCAGAGGGAACAGCACGTGCAAAGGTCCAGAGGAAAAAGGATCTGATTCTTTAGCAAAAGTGAAAGCCATCCAGAAGCCTCTGGATTAATCTATATTTCACATTTTTCTCTCCTACAGAAGTGAGTATTGCTGGTGCTGTGTTTATAATCCTTTGAGGAAAGAGCCTCATTTCCTCATTGGGCTGCACACTCTCCTGAGAACCTTCCTTACTCAACACATGGAGAGCGGCAACACTCAATTGTTGAGTACCTGTTTAAAGCTCTGAATTCACCACTCTTGAGGGAGGAGGGGGACAGAATTCTTCAGGGGAGGTGCTGAGAGAAACAAGGGCTGTTGTTTCCTGCCCACTCCATCCCTCTTATTCCTCCACCTTACAGCACTAGTAAATCCTTTGTCCTCAGTCATTCAGGACAAGAGCTGTCTTTCACAAGCTTCCTCCCTCAGGTGAAACCCAACAGCAGTGACATGGCTGCTGTCTGCCCAGGCTCTGAGAGGAGGCATGCTGTTTCTGGGCCCCAGGGTAAACTCTGCTTAGGAGTTTACCCTGTTCTAGGAGACCTAGAACAGGGGTTAGATTAA